TGTAGGAATATTTGACATATTGTCCTTGGTGAATGTGCTTGTGCTTGTTGCTGTGCTTGTCTTTTTCTCATTATGTGCAATCATATTGAGTTACTAAGAGAAAATTACTTTCTATTTTGGTAAACTGAATTGTGGTTCCAAATGGACTGTATGACAGATACTTAATTTGCAATATATTCCCTGGTGAAATTAAAAATTCAGATGGTTGAACTGAAGCCTGCTTCTTAAATTGATTATTGTCAGTGTGTTAACAAGCTGCCCATTATCTGACTGGTAAGCCATCTACTAAATTTTTTACCAGAGATTTTGACCACAGTGTATTTGTATGTGTATTGTGTGTGCATTTGTATATATGTGTAGGGTATTTGGAATGTTTTTTCACTTATCAGATAAAGGGAGATAATGCTGATTACCCATTATGACCCATCATAATGGAGAGCCATACAAGCAATCATGTTCCATCAGGCAGAATTTTCTTTATTAGTCCATTTTAAGCTCTGTCAATACAATTTGTTCAGGTGTAGAGATACTTGAGAGATTTTGAATTTGATTTTCAAAACTCTCTGAAATAAGAGACTCCAATGGGTTGGAGGAGCTATGAATCAAATAGGAAGATGAACTCTTAAATTATGTTATATCAAGGTAGACTTGGGAGTCAAAGCAGGACACGGCAAAGGTTGGAGTATTACTATCTGCCAGTAAAATCAAAGCCAAAAGCCATTCAAGGTTCTTCTTTCATTAACCAGAATTTTATAACATTTAATTTGTTAGGGAAATTATTTCGGGTTTCTGTATAGGGAATTGGAAATTCCCAATACAATTTTTTATTTGCCCCCAAGCAATCTTAAAGCATCAGTGTTCCAACCATATTTTAATAACCCATGAAAAAGTCTAATCCATCGATAAGAATATCTGCAGTTTACTATGTTTGCTACCATTAAGCTGGGTTGACTCTGGAAAAAAAATGATAAATGCTTTTCATCTTGATTTGTCATACTATTGCAGTAATCTTTTTGATCCTGTCCCTCAAGCTTATTCACTGTCTTACCTTTGCCAAGCATAATCATTTTTCTAATCCATTACCTGTTTCAACCATCATATGCCCAAAGGGTGTTTCTACTTGTTGATCACTGCCACAAGGGATCAGTCAGCCTTTATTTGATCCAACGTAGATTTATTGATATTCTCACAATCTATCATAGTCTTAGCTTAATAATCAAAGGCATAGCTTAATTCAGAGGCATCTGATTTTCTCTCAGTATTTCTCATGGTCCAGATTTCACAAAAATCCTTTGACACACTGGAAGGACCATTTCATTAACCATTCTGATTTTTTCTTGTAGTTGAAATGTATGTAATCTTCACAGTTTGCCTAAATTTGTCACAACAATTAGTTGTTTTTGCATATGAAGTAGTTTTAACATATTCCACATGCTGGCATGATGTACAGTCAAACTGTAGGTTGTGCCATTCCTGGGAAGTGTTGTCATCGGATTTATGAGGGAGACACAATTGAGTGGTGCTTCTGTATGAAAATCAGGATCCTTGCAGTCCTCCTACATTGCTTGGGCAAGATGAATCTGGCCTTCTGTGCAAAGTCTACAGAAAGCTGAATTGTTGTCAGAACTTGTTCCCATTGTCTTGATTGTCCAAGCAAAGTGCACAACAAATTCTAAATAGGCTTCAGCTTTGAGTGTGTAAGTCTCATAGCCTAAACATCCACAACTGCAACCGAGATCTGTGCACGTTATTGATGAGCAAACACCAACCTATTCCTTATACCCTATAAATTATTAGGGAGGTAAGGAAGAGATATTGTATCTGGTGCTCTGGAAAGGGTAGTATGGCCCAAGGTAGGTTGCAGAATCTTGCATCTTATTCTGAAAACTAGAACATTATTTAGAAAAACTTCACTTAATGTATGTTAATGTACTTAATGTATGTGAAGCTGGTATAATTTGGAAATGTATTTCAAATGTCCAGTTGTTCACAGATGTAAACAAAACTGTTTCTTTCTTGTAATAAATGGGTCTGGCAGAGCCCTCTATCCATTACCCTTGTTTCTGATGCTACTCCTTTTTAAAAACTATTATGAATCTTTTATCTCCATATATTTGGAAGGACATGAGGATTCTAGCATTAGAAATGTAAACTACACAAGAATGAAAATGGCCAATTCTTTTTAATTGGACTCTAGATAAGAGTTACTTCAAACATAAGCCTTCCCAAGTGTTCCATCTAGGTACTAATCAGTCCAAATCTGTCACATCATGTGTCTTCAGACTGTGGTCTGCATTCCTGCTGTTGCACAACCAATAGGATTGGGCGAATCAATCAATACAGAACATCTGACAACTCTGTGCTTGTTTCCAAAGATGTCAATGTTTAATGTTGTGCTTAAATTCCATGGAAACAGGGGAGCAAACTGAGGAAGAATTGATTAGAGGATGAATGTATTTCAATGTTTTATGTCGGTTCCTGGGTATAGATGCTGTTTCTCACTAAAGTCTTGAGTTCTGTTAAGTATTTAGAGGTCAGAACAATAAAATGAGCCTACAATCAAAACCCAAACATTCAATTGGCTTGCTTACACTAAAGCTAATTACAGCAGATGGTATCTTCTGGGAATAGGAAACTTACAGAAGGAGCTTTTCTCTAGTTACAGTAGCGTGAATAACATGAAGCCACTTACCAGCTGGTGTTTCTCCTGCTTCCAATATATCCAGTATTATTTTTCTGAATCTGCATATTGCTATTATAGCAGCCACTAAGACATGGTTCAGGGGAACCTAAATTAAAGGAACAAGCATTTTTTCAAGCTAGAATAAAGGGATGAATACTTATATTTTACAAACATGAAGGAAAATACTGTTGCAATGGTTTAATTTCTTTTTGATGCGTGTGATCTTAAAAGACAAGACTGAACTTGTGTAACACCGATCTTTGGAACAGCATCTGTATATTGACTCATAGCAAGCCTGTATTTGAATTTATCGAATGCACTTATTCATCTATTCATTTGCTGACTTCATAGCATAACTTGACTCTGAAGCTCTCTTAATGGGAATTTTAGCTCCATTGACTGGGGTTTATATTTGAGAATACGTAGTATCCAGCAATATATCTCGTAATGAAGTCAAGCGGCGGGAGATGTTTCTGTAGCACCAAATGTTTGAAAATCAGGAAAGACGGATTTGAGGAATTATGCAAAGTGGAGAAAAAGATACTTGAAAAAAAAATTAGATACATGACAATATTTTCCCCTTTTCTATCACAGCAACAACAGGACAGTGGAAATGACTCAGCTTTGTCAGATGTTCACTGTTTGCTTCTTAGAATCAGCTTACCTGAGTTACATGACAAAGAATATTGTCTAAACAATAGGAACTGTAGAAGTTCTTGCAGTTGATGAAATGGCCTGGTGAATCTCTAACTGGGGTGACTGAGAAGGATGAATTGACATGATGGGAGAATCAGAGATGGTTGGTTGTTTATGCTTACAATTGGTATGTCCAGCAGTGGGATTTAAAAATCCCAGCAACTGGTTCTCTGCCTGGTTTCTGGGTGGGCGTGGCCTACAGGATTTTCCGGAAGGGCCGTTTTTTGCTCTCCCAGAGCCTCCATGTGGACCCTGCACTTACCTGCATCCAAAACGGGCCAGACTCCTGAGACGGGGGCGGGGGGGGGGGGCAGGCCTAGCCGGTTTGGTGAACCAGATGTAAATTTAACATCCGGTTCGTCTGAACAGGCCCAAACCAGCTGAATGCCACCCCTGGGTATATCTGCAATTGAAGGCATTTGGGACTACCTGGAAGCCAATTGGATAAAAGCTTAAGGCTGTTAAAAAGATTTTTACCAGATTAAATAATCTTTGTGGACCCTTGGAGAGAGACTTGCATTTACAACACATGTTGGAATTCCATAATAAGGCAGATTTGGATTCATACATTCAGAAGGTTTGGGAAAGCCCTAAATGATGGTAAAGAGGCACGTGAAGCTTTGGGTAGAAATAGATTTATCTGGTCTCTGTAGATAATTGGGGCAGGTCTTCAAAATGGCATTTACAATCAAAGAAGGAAACTTGAATCATCTCCATTTGTTGTAATGGACAAACCTTTGCGGGCTACAGTCCACTAACATACATGTGTGGGTTATTATAATAAAATATATTAATACAACATGGCTTATTATAATGCAATATCCTTGCTTCAAAATGTAATTCAGTAGTAAGGAATGTTTATGTGTATGAGCCAAAATCTTTTTATCTTTACATCTCACTGATGATAATACCACACTTTACATACAATAAAAGAGATCATGGCGATAATTCTTTGATTTACTATCCAAAAATGTCAGCCAGAACATTACAGTGCTTCCTATCAATCTTTTTAAACTCATTATTTCAAATCTTTATTTTGCACAATAGTTTCTCTTACAGGAAGCACACGGTCAAGATAAAATTGTCATTCATACTATTTGTCTAAAGTGCCTAAATTCTATTTTCTGTATGTGACAAAAAGCAACAAAAATATGTGTACATCTGCTACATTTGATAATGATACAAATTAATTATGAACAGAAATTTGAACAATTAAAAATTCTGGGAAAAACATGGCATAATCCATTAGAACAAGGCTTTTCCAGGCTGACAATTAACTCTAGTCCTTAAGTGATATGCTGAGGGCCAAATCTCCAACGTAGTTGAACTAATACTACCTTTTACTTGGCTTTAAATACAAATACAAAAAATTATTACCATCAAGCCCTGTTTTTAAGTAATCTCTTCCCATCATATTAAAATTTACATTTTATTAATTAATCATTTTGCAGTTGTTATCACCTCTGGAGCCCTGCTTTTTGTAAACAGAATATGATATAAACCTGTGTGGTTTTGTGTTTTTTCAAAGTATTGTGTGTGTGTTTTTTCAAATTAGTTTCCAAAATGCCCTCTTATGTGGAAAAATACATTTGTGATCATTTTCCCACTTTGTTTATTTTAGAAATTCAAGATTTTTAATTACCTGTGGATTCTTAAGAGAAGGTGGAAAAGGAACCACGGTCCTACAAGACATAGAATTTCACCCTCCATCTGTCAGTGAACCAAACTGTCTGAGTAATACAGATAGCACACAATCAAGAACTTAAGTCCTGTTCTTTGAAGATACCATGTGAACCTGTCGTGGGATTATTCTATTTCTATAGAATGCTGTTTAGACCTCCTGCTGCCACAAATACATCAGAATGTCTCAGACCCATGCAACAATCTTGTCAGATTCTCCTGCGATTAACAACTATAAAAGAGATGTCTCACCTGCACGAAGCTTACCTGCATGGTCGGGCAAGTTGCTAGATGCAGTGGAGAAGACTTCTGAAGGTGTTAGTTCACAAAAGAAAGAAAGATTATGTGCTCAGCATCAAGAGAAAGGGATCAACACCCAGGAGCCTGAAAACAAAGAAACTTTCAATGGTCCTTCCAGTCTTCAGGATTCCTTTCACTCCCATTTTAGTTTCATCCAGCTCTCGCTAAATTCAGCCTCTGAAGCTGCTGCAGGTGAATCAGGAAGTAGGGAATCTAAAGAAATTGTGCAGTTAGGTGGAATAGAGAAAACAGAAAATATTAATTTTCATCTATCTGGAGAAGTCCAAAGAATTTCACGAACAGAATTGTGGGCGTCATGTAACTCCTTGTGCGATGAAGTTGGGACCTGTCCCTCGGAAGCTGCAGAAGATGACATTTTGCAGGTCTGTGGGACCCTCTCACCTTTCCATGCAAATCATGCATTCTCTTCTTCCACGGACTCTTTAGACGCAACATCTGCTGATTCTTCAGTGACTTCAGGCTATGAGAGTTGTGGCGTTGCTAGTGACCACAGTTGGGATTTTCTGATGAAGGAATATGAACCAGTACTACAGGAATGTTTGTTGGGCAATCGTCGTTTAGTAAAGGTTTGTACTTTTTTTGGTCATTTTGTGTGATAGAATTTTAAGTAAGTATATACATTCAATATAAAGCAAAGGTCCCCAAATTTGGCAACTTTAAGATTTGTGGTCTTCAATTCTAGGAGTTGAAGTCTACAAATCTTAAACTTGCCAAGTTTGGAGATCTCTGATATAAAGCAATGCAATAACTGTTGTAATGCTTATTTTGGGGGATGTTTCTACTGAGAACTTGAGAAGATGCCTATGAAGATATTGTTGGATGGTTATAACCAGTAAGCAAAATAAGTTGCAGAAGTACAGAATTACATAGTTAGTAGTTGGAGGTCTTCTGCTGAAGCAGGAATCCATATATCATTCTGGAAAAATGGCTGTCCAATCTCTTCTTAAAAGCCTCCAGTGATGGAGCACCCAAAAGTTTTTGAATGCTTCTTTGCCTTCCAAATATCTTGAGCCTTTCTATTCTTTCCACCAAAAGTTTACAATATTTGCTGCCCTTCAATCTCATTTTAGTTTTCTCCCATTCTCCTTGTTACAATTTATTCTCCATTGCTCTCACCTACCCAATCTTTCAGAATACCACCACTGCAGCAGGTGAGCCTTAACTAAATGCAATTAATTAATTTTTAATTTAAGATTTCCTAGCTGAAGCCTACAAATTTCAAGATGGGTAAAATAAGCAATCTGCGATGTGTTTGATTTTTTTTCCAATTTGGGAATCATGGGAAACTCATCTGATTTTCGTATCTTCATCTAAATATAGCCGGTCATTATATCATCATGTCTCTTCTGAGTGCTTTTGAATTATGTATGATGACTGTGCAATGTGGGGTGACAGAAGTGTCTTCAGAAATGGATGGGCCAAGTGGAATGAAATCAAAACTTTAGAATTGTTGTGATCATATATACAATGCTTAGGTCACAATTTTTCAAAGCAGCATAGAAGAATATAGCTCATGATTTTTTTAATTGATACAGATAAAATCCTTGATGAGAAAACTTCAGAAGCTTCAGGAGAAAGCAGTAGCTGAGGAGGACTATGAGAAAGGTATGTTTCTGACAACCAGTTGCTGCTATAAGTTGTGGATGGGCACAACTCAGAATTTACCCCTGGCTCAGGTGGGCTCACATTAATTTTTTTATTTACCCAACAGTTATCAAGGTAGGTTTAAGAAGAAAATGGCTTGTCAATTCCAGTGTCATCTCAATCTAAGTTCTCTGTGCCTCAGTAGTAAGATCCTTAGCATGTGAAAAAACATTTTTAATTGCATCATAGTTATTCTATTTTAGTTCATGTGGACTCAAATTAATAAAGCCTTGTTTTGGAACTAAGAGCTAGTAAGAGGCAGGGAAAGGCTGATATCCATTTGCACCCCCCAAAAATAGTTGCTGTGCTGTTCTAGCAATGGGACAATCTGGCAGAATGAATAAACTGTAAGTCTCATTCAAACCTAAAGGCTACTGGTATCAGAACCATAATCTGTGTACTTGATACTCCGTAAAGGGATATTTCAAATAACTTAGATTCTGATTACTTTCCAAAAATAATTATCATCTTCTAGATGAATGAATGGGAAACTGCAGAAGGTAGATTTCTTCTCCTTAGCTATTCCTATTTCTAGATCTAAATCCATGTCTATTTGTGCCACCAGGAGTCCATTGTCTTTGCATGATCCTTGGGAGGATGTTGAGTTTTTCTATTTTTCAATGGCAGTCATTTGCATTAAGGAATCTCATTTCTATTTGTAGTGAAAATTCATGTTAAAAAGTGGTTCTATCTAATACAAATATCTGTTTGGATCAAAATTATGCCTTAATTTTCACAATTACCTTTGGCGCTTCATTTTTCCTGCATCTCCAAGACTGACAAATGTGTCAGTATTCTGACATTAAATTTTTATGCATTGTTTTATTGGTAGATACCAATAAGTGGTTAGTTTTTCCTTACCTTTTAATCTGCTTACTTCTTTTTCTTCCATTCTCCTAATGGATATTTGGGTATTCTGCATTACAGGAGCAGAATTCTCAAAATGGTTTATGAAATCCACACTTTGTTTTCAAAGTGCTTTTTTTTTTTTTTACAGAACAGAACGAAGAATTAAAATGTTACCTTATTTTCTATATTGTTTGAACTTTCTTAATTTTTTTGTTACATGTTTAACTAACTTGTTTAAAATAGCGAAGTCACACTTGGAGGAAAAACTGTAAATAAATGTATGAATGGATCATTTACCATTGTACTCTTTTGTGCAAACTGCATTGACACAATTTTCCTCTTACTTTTCTTGAAGAGTAATTCGTCATATAAAATACAAAGCTAATTAATTCACCATATAAAATCAGTAAATAACCTGGCTGCATTTAGAAAACCTGTCAGATTTTTTTTTCTTTTGCAAAATGAGCAGAAGCAAACTCTTACATAGCTATTTTCTTTCTTTTGGTAAACATTCATTCCCTTATCAGACTAAATGTGCATAATAGATTTCTACCAGCATTTCCCCATCTTAATAGTTTTCCATTTGTTCTCCATCTTAGGAACATTCTATGAAGAAGTTCACCTATTTGTTCTAAATTTACAATTTATGTAAAATTTGCAATTAATTCCTATTTTTTCACATCAAAAACAACTACCTTCATCTTTGATAACATCCATGCTCCTTATTTTATCACAGCTTCTATCTAATACTTTTTTTTGCAAACCATTCACATTCAAAGCTAATAACTTACTGTATACAAAATATGGGTACCTTGTCTCTAGTCACCAGAAGCATTACTTATAAATTTACTCATAAATACATCAAGCAATGAAGGAACATCACTTATTTTTGTTTTATTCTGTGTTCAGTGTTGCACACTGGCAACTGCCACAGCCATAGCATTTTTCAACATTTTTATAGTTTTATTATTTCCTTTTTTTCTTTTCTTCCTAAGCACTAACTTTAAAAGCATTTATTCTTGTTCCACTCTTTAATATATCAGTATTACTTCCTACAAAATTTTAAAGTACTTCCTTCTCCGATCCGCTCATTTCGGTTCCATCCCAAATAATTCCCTTTTCTTCTTAGGACATGGTTACTTGCACTACCATTTTTGTAGTAGTACCAGATCATGTATAGAATACATAAAAAGGATCTATCATGTGTTGGTTAAAAGGTCTCTTAGCTTCAAGGCAATCTAAGTCAAACCAATTCTCTGTGTGAAAAATCTGATCTCTAGTCTTTGGGCTGTGGCTGCTTTAACAGCAGGCTGAAGGAGCTGGATTACGTTAAACTGATGGCTTGAAATTGGCTCCCCAGAGCTGGATCAGATTTTAAAATGTTAGAAATCATTTCTCCCAGTTGGGGTGCCCATTTCATTGGATAAGGCAAAAGTCATTTTCCTCCATGATAACAGAGGTCAAATCAAGAAATATAATACATTAGGAACCTGAATAAATAAAACTCCTGGAAAGTGTTCACCACTTGCTATAAAAATATTCTGAATAAAAAGTGTTTTTTTTTAAGTTGTTATATAATCTATTAGGGAGGCATCAGAGTCAAACCAATACAAAAATTCTGTTGGATAATCAGCAAGCATGGAATCATTTAACAAGTTTAAATTCAGATTATTTGGAGAAAAGACAAACATTTCTCAAAATATCCTTATAATTTCATCATTTTTATTTTATCTTTGTTCACTTTGCTGGTGTACTTTGATTAGCCTTTTTCACCCATGTCCATAACATTTTGTTTTACTTCCATTAAAATTTGTTCTGCATTTTCTGTTTCAAGCTTCATGTTTCTTGCTTTCTTTGACATATTCTTTGTCATTTTTTAAAAAAATATTTTTTTATTATTCTTTTTCACATTTTACAAATCTTAATCTTAATATTAATGGTAAGTGACATCATTATTACATATAACAATTTCATATAAATATATACATTTATATACATTCATATACATTTATCTATAATTTTCTTATCTCCATTATCCTTATTTCGATTGTTCAACCATTTATACCAATTGTCCCAAACTTTGTAATACTTCAACTCTTTTTTATCCTTTAATTTTAATGTAAGTTTATCAATTTCAGCACAATCTAAGATTTTTTGAATTACTAATTCCTCTGAGGGCGTGTTATTTTGTTTCCAACATTGTGCAAATGCTATCCTCGTTTCTATCAATATATGTAGTAGAATATATTGAATCTTTTTCCTATATTTTCCTTTAATTATTTCCAACAAGAACAATTCTGGTTTAAACTCTATCCAATCTTCCACTATTTCTCTTTGACATTTTTCTATCTATGCACATAATGTAGTATTTTACTTTCATCCTCAATTTTGTGTTATATATATACGCGCAACACACAGATATTGCATATCCTCTTTTAATTTACAATTTCATTCTTTTCATTCTTTTTATCTTTCCATTTAGTACCTTCTGTGACACTCTGTAATATAATTCCAAGCAACTTCTACTTCTTCTTCTCCTCCACCCACAAGATCCATTTATTAAGCACCCCTATACGTTTACTTTCTTTCATTATAAAATTGAAACAAACCATTCCTTTCTATGCATTGCCTTCTCAATTACACGAATTGAACATGAATAGACTGAGGCTTAAACCATACATGCAAAACAAATGGGTCTTTTTCTGAACATATACTCTCCATAATCCTAAATAGCCTAAACATGTCTTCAATATTCTTTTGTTCCCACCCTCCTATTCTTGTCACCCAAAGAATGACTTTCTCACTGAGTTGTGTTCATCCTGAATGTTGCATTTTCTTCCCAAATTCATCATTGGTTTTCCATTATGCTGACTGGTTCACAGGAGTGTAACATGCAACTATTATCACCCTATATATTTCTACTTTCTTTTGCTCTAACAATAATCTAGTTGGTACAGATTCTTATTTTTGACCTGTATCCTTTATGATGGAGTCTATATTTTTATTTCCTAGCATATTCATATACATATTCCATGGGATCAGACTACTTCCCTTCAGTTACATTCTTCCTCTTCCTCTTAGTTTCACAAACATACAACAAAACTTTTCCCTTTCCTTTTGGTAATTCATGCTCCTTAGCACTCAATCCTTTTCTCTTCCAAGTTGTAATTCTCCATTTGCCTCAATCTTCATCAGATATCCATAATCTTTTTGTCCAATTGAGACTTTCATATCTTGTTTGTGGAAGATTTTTAAAAAAGGTTACCAATTTTAGAAGGTATAATCCCTGCCAATGGAAAAGACCATTTTGGAACACTTCAGAGAAGTGTCCCTTTTTACCCCAAATGAAGTCATGGCATTCTGTGCAAACTAAGATTTCTACCATAGGTACTACATTTCCGCCTAAGATATTGTTGCCCACATCTTGCAGAGTACTGATATACACTTTGGATATCGGTACGTACCATTTGTTAATTTAATTTCTTAGGAAACTTATTTTATCCTAAGAGTGATTATATTACTTAGAGATTGAATTAACCTACTTCCATGAATATTTATGACAATTAAAAGAGGGTATATAATCAGCACACCCAAAATATTTTAATAAATAAATTGCTTGATTAGACGTTGGTAATTCTTTATTTGATTATATTAAAGCCGCTCAGAGTCTCCTCAAATCATGAAATGAGTGGCATATAAATTTAATAAATTACACACACACACACACACACACACACACACACACACACACACACTGTGTGTGTGTGTGTGCACATGCTCATTTGTATGCATATATCTTCTTTTTTCAGTACTGGACATGGCTTAATTGAAATGAATTTCACATTATCATGCTGAACAGTGCCCATGAACTCAACAATAATTTGTGTAACGGTTTCAATCTTTTCCCTGGGCTTAGCTTCTTTGGAATATAGTTGAATTTTTTCATATGCATATATTTTCTTGCTGTAGTATATGGAATTCATAGCATAGGGAGAAATTGATTTTTCTGCTCCTTCAATTTTAAATACAATACATTTCATACATTTTCTTGGCAAGTAAAATTCTATTGGAAAGCAGTAACAACATTTTGCCTTGCTTAGCATAGAGGAGAT